GAGATGCACATCACCTAATATGCTTAATTGGTAGTAGGTTTTCGAGCCTATACAGCTTGGAGTAAGACAACATGCATGAAGAGGATGATGTGGACCAAATACTCATTTGCCTAATAATTCTGCACTCCCTGTAGTGTTTAATGACTTAATACATAAATTTACTTTGAGGAGTGGCAGCACATGTTGTCAGCGTCACCAGTAAAAGCAGCAGCGCCATCTGATACAAAGAAAATACAATAATTCAAAACAAACATTGCTCAAATGTTCACCTTTCAACTTTAGTATGGAAATAAGGTGTCTGTCACTTAAGGCAACCTGCTATAATATATAATGCAGGCAGAAAAATTTTAAAACTTTTGTGTGGAAAGCATTAATTTAATTTTCCATGTGTATCATGTCTTACCTTGAATTCAGTCTCAGGAGGTTGTGTTGCATGAGGCCAGCGAGGGAGTGAGTTTTATAGTGGCAGTGTTTGTTAGTGAAAATAGGTCTTCTTCATTGAGGTCATTGACTCTGGGTTTGTCCTACCCTTAGATCAAGAACACAGCACATTTTGTAATATTACCTCTGTAAACAACCTCTGGATTTTAAATCAAACAATCAACATGACTGGAGTACAGACTTTGATACAAGGGTTTTTTCCAAAGTGTTGCATTAACTTTGTAGGAAATTTAACCATTCTGATTAATTGACCCCCAATTTCACCTACTTTATAATTGCTTCCTTTAAGGCCTCAAACTCTTACAGTGAATTACAAAAAGAGAACGCGTCTCAGATAGAGCTTTAGCACACTTAAGCAAACGTATAATTAATTCTAGTCAATTCTCTAAAATTCTATCAAACACTGGTTAAAAAAAGAATTAAGTATTGTACTTGTACTTGTTTTGTTACTACTGGGGAGGCCTGGGCAGGAGATCCCCGGACCAGCAGCCACAACCAGTAATTTAATGTTCTCATTAGGCTGAAAGTCTCAAAATTTCTCAACCGCTTATGATTATGATGATGATGATGATTATTATTACTATTTGATTTTGCATATTCAACATTACCTGAGACAAACAGTTACAACACTTAAATCTTGTTTTGTTGTTAACAGCTTCGTGTGAGCTGTGTTTGTCGCTTCTGGGAAGGTGAACATTTTACTTTCCAGGTCTTAAAGGAATTAGAGAAATAAATTAATAAAATGATCAGTAGCTTTCCGTGATGCTGATAACCAGACCAGATTTCTCACACCTACAGGGAGTGCAGAATTATTAGGCAAGTTGTATTTT